CCCCCCCCCCCCCCCCCCCCAGCCGCTAACATCACCAGAGCTTTCTTCTGCGAGCGCTGCGGCTGCGTCGTGCTTTGCCCTGCTCCGTGCTGCTGCTGCGAGCAGGCACCGCCGCTATCTGCCTGCTAACGTGACCGGGGGAATAGCCATAGGGGAGCAATGTGCTGCTTGAACACAGCCTCCAGCACACCAGCTGACAGGTCCTTCTTTTTACAGTCTCTTTCGTGAAACAACCATTTGCATGCGCTTCTCCCCAGCTCGGGGACAAAATCTACTGCAGGGTCACTGCTCGGAGCATGACGCCCCTGTCGGGGACACCCCAAATCCCCTGGCTGTGCAGAGAAGGAAGGCAGTTGCAGTCATCCCCTCCCCGCTGCAGGTTCCACTGGGGCTGGTTCCAATCCACTCGCCGGCTGCAGCTTGTGTAGGTTGACCTCTTGTTAATGGGTGTAGAGGGCTGAAAAGCAAGGGCTGCATTTGCAGCCCTTACCCCTGGGAATCTCCCTGGAGAGGCATTTTACAGGGCATAGTTCTTCAATTCATTTTAAATGAGCTGGAGGTACCAGAGGCAGGAAAGTACCTGGCTCTCTGCAGGATTTGGGTGCTGTTCCCTGCTCTCCTTTGAGAGTTCTGCTTCAGATAAATGCAGCGCCAGGTACTTCCAGCAAGGGAGGCTGGATAGGCGCTGCCAGGAGAGGCTCAGGGACGCTGGGCAGCAGGATGCTAGGCTGGAGAGAGGAACTCTGCCTCACTGCTTGCAGTCCTGGGCCGGCAGCCTGGACGTGGGAGGGGAGCTCTCTGTGCAGGTCTCTGTGGCGGAGTGTTTCGGAGATGCCTGTGCTCTCCTGGGGCTGCTGGGGGGCAGCACGGCCGTCCCCGCCAGCGCTCGCTCAGGGGAAGGGTGAGGCCTGGATGGCCCAGCCCCAGCAAGTGAGCCGGGACTCGGGTCTCAGCAGAGAGGAGCTGGCCAGCTCAGCAGCACCGCTTGCTCCCCTGTGCCAGCACCAGGAGCTCACGCTGGCTTTCATAGGCAGCACAAGCCTTTGCGGAGCAGTGTTTCCCTGCCACGGGCTGCTCAGGTGGATCCTGCAAGTGAGCGGAGGAACGGAAAGCAGCGCGCCGGGGAGCAAAGGGCAGCAGCTATGAGCGTAAAGCAAAGAGGGTGACAGCTGGTGCTGCAGGCTCAGGAAGGGATCTTCCGGCCTCTCAACGTGTTTTCCTCTGTGCTTTTTTTAGTGGTAACATATCGCTTCTGTCTTCCTGAGAGCACAGTGCGACAGGAACAAAATGAGCCTCCGTTTGCCCCACACATTCACTTCAGATTATGCTCACAATGTTATAACGGTGGCAGACAGGATTAAAAGTGTTACAAGTTGCAAGGAGTCGTCTTTCCTGTAAATAACTGTCACCTGCGAGGGACCTTCCTGCTTGGCCATATCTGCCAAGCAGGCGTCCCCAGGGAGCAGCTCTGACCGCCTGGGCACTCTCCTGGCCCTGAAGTCCCCTCTGTGGCATGGTCACAGTGCTGGGTCGCTGCTAGAGACCTCCATCCGCTGGGCAAGGCTCCCGCACATTGAGCGAAGCCTCTCCAGCAGAATGGGAGCGGCTTCTTTGCACAAAGTTAAGGCAGTGGCTCGCTGCAGCGCTTGCAATGCAGCACTGCAGCAGGGAGCGTGGCCCGCGTGCGAGCCGGCGGCTCGGCCGGGCCGGGCACGCCTGGGAGCGTTAGCATGCGCACGTGCAGCAGAATAGCTAAACAGCCGAGGCAGCTACAGAGAACTCGCTCTGAAGCAGAGGGCGCTTCCTCCGTGCTCATGTGCCAAGGGAGACGCACGCGGGCTTGCAGGGAGCTGCGATCCTTATGACTTTGGCTCTCTGATGTCTTCTCTGGGAAAACAGCCTTCTCTTGGGTACCCGAGGTTCTGCTGGGGAGGGCGAGGAGAGCATGAGAGAGGGTAAAGCAGTGTGTGCCCCGGCAAGGCAGAGCACCGGGAAGCCATTGCAAGGCTGAGGGGTCCCCACTGTCGCTGGGATGGGAAGGGACAGGATGATGCTCTGCTGGCCTGTGCCGCGTGGTGCGAGCAGGGCAGGAATCCGCTGTGGGGCTGCTCCACTGCTCCAAAGCAAAACGTCCCTGTGCTCAGGAGGGGCATCGTACGTACACTGCTGGCTCCGGTGCACAGCATGGCAGTGCCCTTCCCCTGTGCAGAATCCGGCAGCTGCCACCGATGCTCTTGGCTCTCAGAGCTGGACTAGCAGCTGCTCCTTCCATGTATTTCTCTCCCCTCTGCAAACAGGGAGGAGAGGAGTAGCAGAGCTGCCTTCTGCAGTTTGAAGGTCACCCATCAGCTACAGCGGGAGGCAAAGCTTTCTGCAAGGCGGGCTGGCTGGGATGCTCCTCTGAGCGCTGCACAGCCTCTGTCAGGAGCCTGCAGCACCAGCTCAGCCCGAGCCCTTCACTGGGGGCACGGTCCAAGAGGCAGCCAGCCAGCACAGTAATACTAATTAGCGTTTGATTTCGTCGCTTTAAGAGCAGAGAGCTCTTCTTTGCTTTGGGCTTCCCCCCGCTAGCTTTAAGGTTTAGCTGAGGCGCTGTGGATAACGTGCAGATCAGGGGCTTTCATTTGCATGCCTTCTCCTTGGTGAGACGAGGCTCCCCTTCAATCCTCCCTGCCTCGCAGGGTGCCAGGCTCAGTCGCTGCACACCCTGGGGGAGCAGGGACCCCTGCACCCACCGAGCTGCCCTGGGAGGCCTGGGCTGCTCTGCTTTCCCCACCAGGCCCTGGGTGGTTGCATGGAGAAGGCGAGGGCCTTGCCTGCATGTCCCCTGGTAGCAAAGCACATGCTCTTATTTGCATGGCAGCATGGCCAGTGAGACCCTCGTGCTCTCCCTGGCCAGAGCTGGGCAGCGTGCCTGGGAATGGACGGCTCGTGGCTACCTGCCAGCACGGTATCCTCACTGTCTTCTCCCCACCAGGTGTGCACATCTCCATTGCCTTCGCCTTGGAGGTGTCCGTGGGCAAGACCAATACCGTGACTGCCCTGAACGGCTCCAATGTTCTGTTGCCCTGTGTCTTCACCACCTGCATAGGCTTCCAGGACCTGGTCTTCACATGGTATTTCAACTCGACAGAGATGGTGGGTGGCTCTCTGAGCTTTTCTTCTGCTTTCCTGGCAATTCAGTGTGATTTCCTCACTGCAGAGCAGCATTTGTGTCCCACTTGGGCGGGACCGGGCCCGGGCCCTGCAAACAGGGTAACTCCCATCCCCATGCACACTTGAGTTTTTTTGCAAACATGGTCTGGATGTTTTGCTGCTGCTGAGTCCAGCCATTTCTGTAAAGTTCCTTGGTACCAACTTGTGAACCAGTTTCACTCCTTTTGCTCCAAAGCTGTCTGCACAGGAGCAGGTCGGCACTTTGGGCAGTTTATGGCTCATTTCTCCACTGCTGCTTGCTCTGAAATGCTACGTGGCTTTCTTTCCTGAGGAATAGGCTACTCTTCAGCCTATGCTCTGCTCTTTGCCACACTCCTTTCCGTTGCTGCACTGATCTGCTCTTCCCTGCTAATCTGTGGCTCTGATATCCTCCATGGCCACTGAGACACATGGCCGGTCCCGTTTGTGCAATGGGGCAGGGCAAGCACTCGAGCCCCTTCCTTGCTTGGGGTGCAGGTGCTGACCCCCTCCATTTCTGCAGATTTACCACGGCAAGATAAAGACCAAGGCCTCAGAGCCCTTCCTCGTGGGGCGCAACCCCCGTGTCGAGTTTGTGGGCTCCACGACTGGCAAGGACAACAACATCTCCATCCTTCTGAACGAGGTGGACTTCAGCGACGCCGGGAAGTACACGTGCCACGTCAAGAACCCCAAGGAGAAGAACGCGGAGCACAGTGCCTCCATCTTACTCACCGTGGTCCACAAGAGTGAGTGCCGCGGGGGTGGCGGGGCCGTGGGCACATGAACCCAAGTTCCTAGGGGCAGCTGCACCTCTGGGAGCAGCGCCGGCCTCGTCCCTCTCGCCTGCGGGACCGGTGTGGTGGGCGATGAGTGGAGGGGTCTCGTGCAGGCAGTTCGCCCCAGCTGAGCTCCTCTCGGGCCCTTTCCCCGGCAGTGGTGGAGACGGACAACACGGTGACGCTCATCATCGTGGGCGTCGTGGGGGGGCTCATCGGCCTGCTCATCCTCTTCATGCTGGTCAAGAAGGTCGTCCTCTTCATCATCAAGAAGACGCAGGACAGGAAGTGAGTGGGGCCGAGGGCGGCGGAGTCAATCCCTTCTCCAAAGTAGCTACTGATAGGACAGGAGGAAATGGCCTCAAGTTGTGCCAAGGGAGGTTCAGGTTAGATATTAGGAAAAATTTATACACAGAAAGAGTAGTGAAGCATCGGAACAAGCTGCCCAAGGAAATGGTGGAGTCACCAGCCCTGGCAGTGTTCAAGAAATGTGTAGATGAGACACTTAGGGACATGGTTTAACAGGCATGGTGTTGAAGGGCTTACAGTTGGACTTGATCTTGAAAGTCTTTTCCAACCATAAGGATTCTGTGATTCTACAATTCTATGATTCCCCTCAGGAAGGAGTGCCTTGTCAGCTCCTCGGGGAACGACAACACCGAGAACGGCCTGGCCGGCTCCAAGGCGGACCAGAAAGTGGCCCCCAAGGCGTGAAGGCCCCCGGCCCCCGGTCCCCCTTTTGCTTTCTTCCCAAACTACTGGCGCTTGAGACATGTTTGTATTACACACGTGCCTGCAACCCGCACTGCTTCTCGGGAACGACGTCAGCTCTCGTGGGGACTGGGAATCCCATCGGAGGTGGCCCCGCAGCCCGCCGGGACGCAGGCAGCTGCCTGCTCTGCTGCGAGCCAAGGCAAGAGGGTGCCGAGGGGCTGGGACGCGGGGTGCCCGGGCATGGCCCTGCTGGGAGCCTGGTGGTGGCACGGCCCATGTGCCTGCAGGGCTGTTTTGGTGGCCGGGCGTCCCAGTGCGCCGTGCTCGGGGTGCCTGTGCCGTCTGTGCGATGCGGAGCCCCAGCAGGCAGCTCTCCTGGGCTTGGGTCGGTTCTGCTCTTCCTCCTGCGCCCCTCTTCTTACAGCCAGGCGCTCCGAGCAGCGATGCTCTCATAGCTGAGCTGCCTGTTACACAGATTTTCTTTTTTATATCCAACTCCCATGGGAAGAAGGCAGGTCGTGTTTCCCTTTCACCCCAGGAAAACTGCGGCACTGCGGCCGCAGGGCATGAAGGAGCACGGTTGCATCCCGGTGAGAGCAGTGGGCTCAGGCTGCTCCAGCCCACTCCTGCCACTGCCTGGCTGGGTGGCCCGGGGCAAGTCGCCTTGCCTTGCTGTGCCTCAGTTTCCCCACCTGTAAAATGGGGATAATAACACTGCTCTACCTCACAGGGGATGCTGTGAGGCTTCCTTGGCTAACTCTTGTCCCGTGCTTTGAGGTCCTTGCAGGAGGACGCTGCGGGTGCAAAGCTGGAGGGTCTGCATGGAGGGCGCATGCGCTGCTGGGATGCAGGAGCACTGGAGCCGTGCAGGGAGCCGCGTGAGCCGGGTTTCTTGGGTTTGCTGGCCACTGTATTTCAGAGGATGGAGCACACCGGCAGAAGGCATGGCATGCAAGCGTGCCTGCATGTCCCCACTGTGCTGCCAGCTGCGTAGAGCCTTGCTGGTCTTCCAGGGAACTGGGCACGTAAAGCACCACCCAGGGAGCGAGTTAGTTTTGCAAGGTGCCAGCGTGCTTTAGGGAGTGATTTGTTCCCTGCTTAGCTACCGTTGTTGGCTACATGCCAGTGCCACCACGGTGGGGCTGCAAGGTGCCCGCAGGCTTCCCTGGCTGCTGGGGAAAGGGAGGAGTGGGAGTCGGGCCCCAGGATCCCGGTCTCGTCTCTGCCCTAGGGACCTGCAGGATCCTCCAGCAAATCGCTTGGCTCCCCAGAGCTGCACTTTCCCTGTGAGTCCCGCTGCTGAGAGGTGGTCTGGAAGATCCCCCCAGTCATCCTGCGAGCCGCTGGCCCATCCTTGGGAAGATCTCCCAAGGGAGAGGACAGTGAGAGGAGGAGGGAAGTGGGTTGGTTTTTTTTTTTTTGAGAACTCTTTTCAGCTGTCCTGACCTGCCAACCTTTTTTAGACGGTATCTGGACTCAGCTCCACTTACCACAGAATATGCAATGCTGTACTATGCATGGATTATTCCTCTGGCTTGAAGGAAAACAGTCAACACAAGCAGTTTTGGGGCTGAAACTGCAGGCATGCGCGTGCGGGTGGTGCAGGCAGCACAGTGGGGAAGAAGGGGGTGCTGCGGGGTCCCTGGGGCTTCTCGCAGCGTGCGCTGGGGACAGCACTGCTGGAGGTGGGTGCCGAGGTGTGGTGTGACCCACGCAGGTATGTGTAGGTTTATAGAAACACATAGGAGATATCTGCGAGTCCACGCAGGGTGTGTGCGACACGCTGCGTTAAGACTTAAAACACATTTTGCACTGTAGAGTTTTAGCAAGCTTTGCCTTGAATGAAATAAAGATTATGTTTACTAGAGAAACGCTCTGCAGCTTGGGTTTTTGAGGGTGCTGGCTGGGGCTTGCATCCCCTGCCTGGGTGGCCAGCGCCTTTCCCAAGAAAAAGAGCATCTCCAGAATGACTCTGATCCAGGGTTCTTGTCTTTCTGGAAATACTTGTGCCCACTTCTATTTCTTAGAAAAGCCCCCTTCTTCCCCATTTCAAAAAATGCAGAGAGGCATAAACTGTGTCTCAGACTGCATGGAAAAAACAAGTCCTTTCTTTTAAGGGGGTCTCTGCCAGCACAAGCATCGCCTCCCCCTGTGAAGGAGGGAAGGGGGCCGAATCCCAACAAGCAGCAGCCTCGACACGTGGGAGCCCACCTAACGCAGCAAGGTGGCCCAGGGCAATAAATTGCTCTGTCTTTCCGGCAGGCAGCTTGAGACAGTCGAATTGCTTGATGGGGTCAGTGCTGCTGCCCTCCGTCGCCTTGGCTGCCCTTGGACACGCTAAGCCACAGCCTGCCCAGCAGGGTCACGAGCTTCACGTGTCCTCAGCAGCTCTAGGTTCATTTCCCAGCTGCTGCCAGGGCCGGGAGAGCCGAGTGCAGGAGGGCTGGGAAGCTGGGGATGGAGGAGACCTGGCCCGCAGGTCTTACAGCTCCAACTGGACGGACAGAGGGGGAGATGCCCGTGTTAGACACTGCGCCTCCCCTCGTGCCCCATCCCGCACGAGCCCACGCACTGACCCTGCGGACGGTGTAGATCCAGTTGAGGTACGCCTGCACGCTGGTGCAGACGCCGGGTGTCCTGGGGGTGCCGCAGCCCTGGCCCCAGCTGACGATGCCCACCACCTGCCAGGGGCCGCTCGAGTAGAGCAGGGGCCCACCACTGTCCCCCTGCGGAGCACGAGCACCTGAGCAGGACACACCGCTGCCATGGGCCCCGCTCACCTGGCACGTGTCCACGCCGCCCTGGGGCAGGCCCGCACACAGCATCTTCTCCGTGACCTCGCCGTGGTAGGCAGCCCGGTTGCAGCTCAGGTTGTCTATGAGCATGACCTCCGCCTCCTGCAGGATCTCGGACAGCTTGCCTGTGTGTGGGCACACGCTCAGCACCGGGACCCCTCTCCTCTCCCATGCTGAGTGCAGCATTCTGGAGGAGGGTGGCAAGGGGCGCCCAGTGTGCCCGCAACAGCACTCACCGTTCTCCTTTGTATAACCCCAGCCCGTGACCCAGAGTGCGGTGCCGGGGCGCAGCTCCTCGTCAAAGTAGGGCAGACAGATGGGCTTGCTGCTGGCTGGGGGGCAGAGCGGGGCCGTCCGCACGCGGGCTCCTGCCCGGCGGTTCAACCCCATCTCACCAGAGAAGTGCAGCGGGGAGCGCAGCTTGACCAGGGCGATGTCATCGTCCTTGGGAGTGGCGGGTGTCACCTTGGCCAGGATGACCTTCTCCACGTCGAGGTTGGCGCTGCCGGACAGCAGGTCAGAGCCGGCCTTCACACGCCATCGCTGCACCAGGGGGTTGTTCCTGCATGGGGATGCGGCCCTTACTGCCCTCGCCGGGCTCCGCGGCAGCCCGCAGGGATGGCAGCGGTGGCTCGCGTGTCCACGGGCTCACTTGAAGCAGTGCGCGGCGGTGAGGATCCAGCGGGCGTCAATGATGGTGCCGCCGCAGATGTGCTCCCGGCGGTACCGCAGGCTCACCTGCCAGGGCCAGGCCTCGATGGGCGCAGGGCGCCCGCCCAGCACGCGCGGGGCCCGGCTGCTCTCGCCGCAAGCCTCTGCCGGCCGCCGCAGAGCAGCACGTTAGCGCCGGCGGCAGGCAAGGGCAGCCCCGCGCGCCCTGCCGGCTTCCCGGGGAGTTCCATGCCAGCTTGCCAAGGGGCCGGGCAGCCGCTCAGCAGAGCCCTTGTCCTGCACCCAGAGCTGCCAGGAGGTGCAGAATGCACCGCCCACCGCTCTGCACCGCCGTACTTACGGGAGCAGACCAGAGAGACCGCGGAGCCTGAGAGACACTTCCTATGGGAGGGGGGGGGGCG